ACTATTCGTAATGAGACATAATGATGAAATGAAAAGAACGAAAGTGAGAAAATTCATCCTTTTGTCGCTTCGTATACTTCACATTAAACGTATTCGTTCTATTCGACTTCATTACGGCCCATCTCTATGGATAGACTGTGTTCTACATAGATAACTGTTTGAGAGAGAAATTCATGTACACACTTGTTCTTTTGGGTGGAAAACGTATGCAGACAAGAAGAAACGGAATGATGATGATGATTCACTTTCATGAGCCTAACAGACGTCGTTTGTATGAGACGATTCTTTCTTTTCTTCAACTTAAGAACAAGAGCGATGTTTGGACGGATTAGTTCGGCTATCTTCAAAACGTGAAAATGTCTCTCGAAATACATATATATTTAACTTCTCTTCAGCTATTGTCATTCTTCAATTTTTCTTGTTGAGACCACAGTTATTTCTATCACAGAAAAGACATTAAACGTAGAGTTTCGTAGTGATTGTGAATTAGACCGTTCCTGTACTAATTGGATAGTGTCAAATGACTTGGATAATTCCTCCCTGTTTTGTAACAAGGCAAATGCTGAGGATCCAGAGATTGTAGATCTAGTTCTCTTGCTTTCTGTCGACTGTTGTTAAGATACCTGAGGGAGTTAATCAGATCTTTGAAGTAATTCGAGCGTTAAAATCTTTTTTACTTTATTATTTCAGTTCGGAAAAATAATGATTACGTTCAGTACAAGTATTCTTCTAATTTTCGCGTTCTCCCATCAATCGATTGGATGGGAAGTGGTACTGGACGAACCTTCTCAAAATAGATTTCACTGGTCATATGCCAAGCCTAATGATTGGTCAAATGGTTTTCCCCAGTGTAGTGGTACACAGCAGTCACCAATCGATCTCAACGTGGTCTATAACAATTGTTTAACAACTTACAAGACACACGATGATCCGATTATATTTTCGCCTGGGTATCAGAAATGGCTTTCGTTTGTCTTGACTAATGATGGGCATAGTGTGGTTGGAACACCTGCCAATGCAAGTGACGGCCCAGACCTCTATATTCATGGCAACGGTCTAAATGATGTTTACCATTTTAACAATTTTCATGTGCATTGGCCTGCGGAACATTTCTCTCAGGAGAACATGGTCGAAGTACATTTTGTCCATCAGAATGAGAAAACAAAGAAAATTGTTGTGTTAGCCTATTACCTGAAAATTTCACGTAATCCAAATCCATTTTGGGCGTTATATGTTGTAAAAGCGGTGAAATTAAAAGCGGCAGGTCAAAAAATCACATATGCGACGGTATTAGCTCGAATGATGAACGGTAATCAAACGAAATATTTTCAATATCCCGTTAATGCGAGAAAAATTGAACGAAGTTTCTTGCCAGGTTGGGAACCATAATGAAATATTCTTTTGGCTTGTGTACTTTTCTCAAAGTTCTTTTTTTGTATCTAGTATTTTATTAAGCTTAAAGCAAAATTAAATGAGCTGAATTAAAAATTTTCTGAAAACTTTTGTTTTCATGCAGTATATTCAGTTGAGAGCGAACGTCAGACTTCTACTTCCGAGAGAAAACACTGGATCCTGAGCAAGTTTCAAGAGTCTTACCAGGTTGGATTACGGTAAACGTACAAGCTTAAATAAGTTTTCCCAGGCTTATCACAAAAATAATGGGCAAAAAATAGCTGCGTCATAAGTAGCATATTCAGAAACTTCCAATCCTCCGCCTCGCTGTTCTCAAGTTAGAAATAGTGAAATTACTTTTTCATCTTCAGCTTTTTGAGCTCTATTGATTGGTTAAATCAGACTGTTCAAAACTGTTGTTTCAGATGGAAACGGTGGCATGGTGGGGGACATGACTTATACTGGAAACAAATATGAATTGATGTATAACTCCACATGTGCTCCGAACGTAGCATAGTGGTAAGTTGACGGATTGAGGTTGATGTCGAAATCTGGAGGAGAATGACTGCGGAGGAGCAGTCATATTCGTGCCCTTATTGAGTTGTTGAATATGTCATATAAAATCTGGTCTCGAGGGAACCAAGATATTCTGTTCTGACCGAAAAGCTTTTCGTTATACTAACCAATAAAATTTTGGTAGCTTTAATTAGGAAAGGTTTTAATCATCTGGATAGGTCCATTGGTGAAAAAAACTAAATTATACTTTCGTTTGTAACTTTGCAGTACGGTGTTTTTACTAGCGGTCGTTTTAGCAACAAACTTTACTCAGTTGCGATTCCGATGACGAAATTCGTAGAAGTTTAGTGTTCGAAATTCCATTTCTAATTCATGATAAAGTTTTCATTCATAAAATCCGTCTTTAGCCAATTGCGGTATATAGATTGTGTCAGAGATAAGGAAGCGAAAAGTATAAGTCAACATCAATGGTCATCATATTTGCCGACATTTTCACTTCAGACCTTTTTTTTCGTTTTTTCGCACTAAAAATAATAAACTTCAAATTAATTGTTTTTCTTGAACCAGAGTTGAACCCTAAAATTGAATTGAAAATATCGGCATCATAGAACGTCAAATCTCGACATTTGCATTTTGAGTATCCAGTAACACTAAACCTTTGCCTATATAAACCAGTAGTGAACTTGAATTTTTAATGGAATATACAGTAAAAAGTTAGGGCTTTCTCGTGGTATCATCGAAAAACTTTCAAAATGTTTTGGAGATTTTGAGGAGGATTTCTGAAAACCCAACTTTTGCCTTTTTCTGCGATAGATAGATTTTCAGCAAAGCAAAATGGAAAATCACTTTCAAATAGTGTAGTTTTGATAAGTCACTCTTTACTCTTAGTTTGTCCCCAGGCCTTCTCACCCTCTGCCTGATTCCTTCTATTTGATGACAGAGTGCATAATGACATCGATAGGAAATTTTGGCATGTACTCTGGAATCTGCTATCCAAACATGCTGATTACTAAAACATGTTTGTTACCTGATTTCCAATAACTTTCCAGCCGTCGAAGGTTGTATGGAATTCTGATCGATTCATCGGTCGAAAGCTGATGAAATGTTCCGCTTGGAATGCATCCAATTCATTGTTCACATTTGTCGAAGCAAACTCATACATTATCTGCATGAATTTGAGGAACAACCTCAATATGACCACCGGTAACTTCTATCCTCTGGATTTTCGACTGACAGTCTCATCTCAATTTCAAGTATTAGCCCTACTCTGTCGTATATCACGCCAGGCTGTCTCTGATGCTAAACAATAATTTCTCGTGACACTATTCACCTCTGCACGTGTTTTACCCCGTTCCGCTTTCGATGCTCAGATAGGCGCATTTGTCGATCAATTTGAGACGAGAATCATTATCAACTTCGTTCTCCAGGATCGCTTTATGTCATCCGTCATCGAACAATACTATTTCAAATCGGCATTGCGGACAAATTTCTACATGAGAAGTGTGCCAGGTAGTGATATTTATGGGACTTTCTCGGACATTTATCCGAAAGTGTTCAGCCTAAGCGAATCCTCATTCCTGTTCAACGAGACATGTTGCTGTAATCAAACAAGTGATTGTGTCTATCCTGCAGTTATCTACAATCAATCAAGAG